CCCCCCCCGTTCTCTTTCTTTTCCAAGACAGGGTTTCTCTGTGTAGCCCTGGCTGACCTAGATCTTGCTCTGTAGACCAGGCTGGTCTCGAATTCAGAGATCCACTTGTCTCTGCCTCCCAAGTTCTGGGATCAAAGGTGTGCACCCCCACTGCTTGGCTTTCTTTGCTTTTCTTATTTTGACAGTGTGATGTTGAAAGCTGGGACATCTCTCAGCCCCACCCTTCATCTTTCATGCCTGGGACTTGTCTTCTGGTTTCCTGCTTAACATTTTGATTTCCTTTTGGTTTATTTATTCACACCCATGTCTTTGAATGGAACAAAACTAGATGTTTTAAATGTTATTTTTTTCTATTTAGACAGTAGGACACGCGGTTTGTGTCTTCTGAATTTATTGTGCTTTTAATCCTGCCGACTTATTCGTGATTAATATCTGCAAATCCTTTGCGAATTTTGGAGAGAAAGCATGTGCTGGGTCTGTGCCTATTTATTCATTGACCTTATTAACCACGGAATTTATTTCTACAGCCTCTTCTATTTTGTCCCTCTCAAGGTTGAGTCGTGGGCTAATTCTTTCACTACACTGCATCTCTGTCAAGTTTTGAAGTGTTCTTATTCGCCTTACATTAACCTGTGTGGGTTGTTGGTCAGCACTCGTGGTCTTGCTGAAGAGGGCTCAGTATGTGGGTTGGACTTTCTGTCCAGTGACGTACTGTCCCCCATCCCCCACACCACTGCTCTGTTTGCCTATGTTGTGTATCATGTCCTCTCTGGTGGTCACTTGAGTTAGTTATTGCTCTTATCCATGTTACCAAACATCAGATGAGAAGCCACTTAAGAAAGGAAGGACATATCTTAGCTCCTAGTCTGAGAGCACAGTCCCTCAGGGTGGGGGAGCTGCTGATGCAAACTCCAGCTCTGACCTCAGTGGCTCATATTCTGAGAGACACATCTGAGCACCCAGAGCTCGTGAACACAGATTCAGGTTGTCCTGAGTAACGTGTTCCAGTGTGGAAGAGGTAAGCAGGGCTTTACAGTTTCAGGATAAAAGAAAGTCATAAAGATATTCACATGGAATTTTCAGAACCAACGGGAGCAGCCCAGTGGGGAAAAGTCTCCTCTATGGTCCTTGGATGCTGTCTGAAGGGGTTTCTAGACTTCTGGTTGGTGGAAGCTGGTGGTTTGCTCAATTAATACATTCTGAAAGGTTATAACTAAAACTTGTAAGGTTGTTGTTGGGTCTGACACAGAGGTGAAGGATGAATGGCTGTGAAGGGACTAAAGGGAGCCCAGGGTAATTGGCTTTGATCTGTAGTGTTTGAATGTGGGAGCTTGCAGATCCCATGAAGCCTGGCCATGCACGTCTGCTCAAGGTCGCGTCTGGGATCTTAACTATGTGTTTTTGAGAAAGGATGTTCTCATAAATTACTTATAAATAATTCATCAGGAATGAAAATGTACAGGGATTAGGTTTCTTGAAGGTCTCCAGGCTCCAAGCATTGTAAAGCTACCCACTGTGTGTAGGTAGATGTGTAAAATATTTATAAAATTTACGCCTTGAGGCGCTGTAGGGCTCTGTCTACTTTGAT